ATTAAAAAGAGAATAATCTAATTTAGGAAGCAATGTACAGAAACAGACATGCCAGTAAAATAAAGGCATAGAATCCCAGTTTCTTAATCATATTCTAACTTAAATCCAAATATATGTTACTTCTAAGCAAATGGTTAATAAACTTTTTAAAAGGTAGGGGGAGACAGCATATAGTAAATATCTATAAAAACCAAAACTAGAGACCTGGCCAGTGAGGCTCAATTGGTACATAGTCGCATACATCAAAAGTTTGTGGGTTCAATTCCTGGTCAGGGCACAAACTAGGTTTTGGGTTTGATATCCAATCGGGATCTGTAAGGAAGCAACCAATCAATGTTTCTCTCTCACATCAATGGTTTTCTCTCTCTCTCCCTCTGTCTCCCTCAAATCAATAAAAGCATGTCCCTAGGTAGAGATTTTTAAAAATTACAAAAACAAACAAACAAAAACCCACACACAAAACAAAACTAGCATTTGCAGATCGGAATAGGGGAGAGAAAGAGAAAATGGAATGGTTCTTACCAAAATTAAATTAAAATATGATTCATATTAAAATGAAATGTAGAGTATTAGTTAAATTCTTCTTAGGCTAATGGAGTAAGATGGTAAAGAGGCCTTTTTGGTTGTTTTAAAGTACCTCAAAATAGCTTGTTAGGAGATTTAGTAGAAATGAGAAGTATAATATGAATAATATTTGTATATTTTCCAAGAAACTTTATCCTAATAATTTTAACAAAATAACTGAAAAATACTCTTGGTAAGCCCAAAGCACTTTATAAACCTAAAAATATCACAGATCATCAATTATTAATCTTCCCAACCAACACCTCACAAAAACTCACAGCTCTTATAAGGCCTGTGCCTGTTTCCATTGTGCTCAGTCTTGTATCACCAATCTTGATTGAAAGAATTTGGGCACCAGGAGCCACACCATTCCGTTCAGGTTCTTCTGGAAAATGCCCAGCAGCTATACTTGCTACATGAGTTCCATGAGCTCCTAGAGGCAAAAAGAGGGAAACGTGACAAAATACTCTCACAGATTCAAAGTTCTAACCATTCAATTTTTATATTAATCATGATAAAAATAAATTAGTAAGAATATACCCTCACCTTAATATTTAATAATATATTCCCTTAATTTTCTTATCAATAATTCACAAAAAAAAAAATAATAAGAATATACCCTCACCTTAATATTTAATAATATATTCCCTTAATTTTCTTATCAATAATTCACAAAAAATGAAAACTCTTTGAATTCCATACACTATTCTACTACCCTGTTCATCGAGAGCAAAAATGCAATTCACACGGATGAGGAAGTGTTTGCAATATATATAATTGACAAAAAACTTATATCCAGAATGTAACCTTCAAATCCAAAGGAAAAGAAGGACTGTGAAAGAAAAATGGGTGAAACACTTAAAAAGCATTTCACAAAAGAGGAATTCAAATGACTCATAAATATATGAAAATATGTTCAACTTCATTAGTCTGTCTGAGAAATACAAATCAAAGCCACATACCTTTCAGAATGGCTACAACTGTAAGGCTGACTGACAACAGCAACCATGGATGGGGATGTGCACTAGTGGAAGAGTAGACTAGCATTTTGGAAAGCTGCACACAGGCATACCCTATGACTTAGCAATTCCACCTCTAGCTATGTACCCAACAGAAATGTGTGCACAGTAAAAAACAAATGCAAAATTGTTCATGGCAGCATTGCTTATAAAATTAAAAAACTTGAATGAATACATGTTGTATTTACAGAATTAAATATTATACAGCAATAAATATGAACTTCTATACACTATAGGATGAGGGACACAAAAATAAGGCTTATTTAAGTCACACACAAAAGGGTATATAATGAATAATCCACTTATATAAATGGAAATATCACCATAATAACATTGAACCATGTGCAATTACCACTATTTAATCATTTCTGATCCATAAACAGCAATACCAGATGGTTCAATCTAATGTGCTAATAGAAATAAGGACAACAGTTAACTTTGGGAGGAAGGGTGTGTTAGTAGTTAGGAACAGACAAAATGGGAGCCTTGCCAATGTTTTTATTTCTTGACTTGGGTGGTAGTTAGACAGCGTATTCACCTGTGATAATTCAATGCATATACAATTTGTGATTTGATATATACCAATGATGTAAACAAAAACAAAATATGAAAATGTGATATTTTTAGGTTTATAAAGTGCTTTGGGCTTACCAAGAGTATTTTTCAGTTGTTTTGTTAAAACTATTAGGATAAAGTTTCTTGGAAAATATACAAATATTATAAATGTCATATACCAATGAAGTAAACAAAAACAAAAAAATTGGGCCTTTTTTTAATTGAAAAGTTTTTTAAAAGACATGGGTAGAGAGAAATGTCACACTACTGTCACATAAACAGTAAAACAAACATAATGATAAATTACAACTGGCACTGGGCCTTAATATTTGAGTGACACTGGAATATTTGGAGCTCCAGGAGAAATGAGAGAGAAGACGCTTCCAACTGGGTCTGTTGCTATGCTAAGACTCCTCTACTCTAGACAACTGTTGTTCTGTATGAATATGGATTCAACATTACCAATTCTTCCTGTCTTATTTTTTTCCAATAAAAACAAAAAAGCTGGAGCCCTGGTCAGTGTTCTCAATGGTTAGTGTCCACTCCACCTGTGCACAGAAGGATCATGGGTTTAATTCCCTGTCAAGGGCATGTACCTGGGTTGCAGGTCCGATGCCCAGCCCCTGTTGGAGTGCATGACAGAGGCAACCAATAGATGTATCTCTCTTATATTAATGTTTTTTTCTTTCTCCCTCCCTCCCACTCTCTCTCAAAAAATCAATCAATGGAAAAAAATATCATCAGGTGAGGATTAAAACAAAAATAAAAAATAGGAAAGTTGGATTTTAATGTAATCTCCCCAACCAACCCCCCAAAAAACTTTGCCGCCACCACCACCTATCAGTTAGAATGGCTAAAATTAAGTTCACTGGCCACACTGTGTGGGGACAAGAATGTGGAGCTTCTGGAGCACTCATGCTCTGCTGGTGGAATGCAGAGTGTACAGCGACTGCAGAAAAACAGCCTGGGAGTTTCTTAAGTTAAATATATGCCTACTGTAACTAACCAGTTCTCCTAGATATCATTCCAAGTTAAACAAAAACATATTTCCACACAGAGACTTGTACACAAATGTTGAAACAATGCAAATGTCTACCAGAAGGTGAATGGATAAACAAACCATGATGTACTCACATCATGAAATACTACTCCTAAATAAGGAATAAGCTATTTAAAATCATCCTATCTAATAAAAAAGAAACATGGTAATTAGCGTACAACCGCTACCCTTCCCATTGGCTAATCAGGGAGATATGCAAATTAACTGCCAGCCAAGATGGCGGCCGGCAACCAGGCAGCTTAAACTGAACATGAGGCTTGCTAGCTTCAGTGACGGAGAAAACCAGTGTTCCCCGCCTGCTGCTGCAGGCCTCTGAGCCTGCAACTCTGCAACTATGTAACAAATATAGAAGCTAAACAAAACCCCAGAAACCTGCTTTAGTCCGTCGGGCTTCAGCCAGCAGGATCGCAACACTGTTTCAAATACAGAAGGTAAAGAAAGGCCAGAAACCTGCTTTCAGCAGCA